TTTCCGCATGAATGTGAATCCTCGGTTATTTTCTTGACGTGCGCCTTTTGATTTGGTGCAGATTGATTTGACTTCGCACATCGTTAGGGTTTATCTGACATTGAAGGTACTCTGTTTCTTATTTTCTGCAAAAATCTTCCTCGATTTTTATTTAACGGAAGATGCATGATTAGCTTACTCTTAAGAAATCATTTTTCTGTTCATTAGATTTGCTAGTCTGGTAAAGTTATACTTCTCATTGTGATCGATGGTTTGTTTAAAAGTTGGAATTGTGAATTTCCTTTCTTTTGTGTTGACATTACGTATGATCGTTGCTATTTCGTTATTTTAAACCCACTGAATAGATCGTTTTGGTTTCCTGCAATGAGGTCTTACCAATTGTTGACTGAACTGAGATGAGAGTTCCAAATGGTGAGATATTGTTGATCGTGAAGAACTATCAATTTCCCCATTGGAATATGTTCCTTTCTCTTGTATAATGTTCTTGATTTCAGTTCTAACATTTTGGATCTCCCTCCAATCACAGTACTTCAAGTTTCATTGGGATGCCCTGTATGAACTTGGCCCATGTGATTTTTCAGGTTCAGAATTGAACTATTATATTAAAGGATCAAGCTTCATTTGTATCAGGAGAGAGAGAGAGAAAGAGAGAGAGCATTTAGTGGATGAGAAAAATTGATTAGTTCTTGTGTCTGCTATTTCTGTGCCTCATATACGTTTTTTTCTTTTTTTTCTTTTTTTTTTANATTTTCTCATGAGGTCGATTTCGGTACCACAGGTTGAAAATATCGGGGACGATCCAGCTTCAAAGGTTCTCCTCGCCTTCCCGCCTGAGCAGTTTTACCATCTTTCGTCGGTAAAAGCAGCTGCAAATGTCGGGAAGAGGAGGAAGAAATCGCATGTTCCTCTTGAAATCAACTTGGCCGAGCAACCAGACTCGCCAAACGGAACCAAGTACTACGCAGTCTCATTGCTTAACCAACTACTGAAGGGTGAAACCACCACTCTAGAAATATTTTATATCCTTACCCACTCCCTCAAGCCCTTCCCAGCCGAAATAAGCCAGTCGGAGTCCCAGTTGGTTTATTACCATGACAGTGCCATTATATTGTCACCTTATCATATCAAGCAGCAGTCTACCGTGATTAAGACACCCACTAACAAGGTCGAGTCCTTCACAGTTGTGGACCCTGCTCAACAAAGTGGTACTGAGCTTAGATACGGGCCATATGAGGACCGTGAACCTTATTCTTACTCGCCCATTATCGTTCACTTTGAGAACAATCATCCGTTTGCTGTGGTTGAGGAGCTTGAGCGGGAAATAGAAATATCTCACTGGGGGAATGTCCAGGTGACTGAACATTACAAGTTGGCCCACAATGGAGCCAAACACAAAGGATTTTCAAGGTTGGATTAATATAAAGAACTTTTGGTTGGAAACTTTCAATTGCGCAAAAAACCTCTTCTCTCAAGTTAAATAAGCAGTGTACTTCTTTTTATATGGATGAAAATTGAGCAAAAAACCTCTTCTCTCAAGTTGTTTGAAATATTTATTTAATAGTGTGATCATAATCATGCATACAGGTTACAGAGTGAGTCTATTTTTCCTTGTTATCGGGGTATATACAATCACTAATCTGAGTTTCTAGTTTTTTACGATTTTAAGCAGAAATCAGTTAGTTTAGGCATGATAGGTTACCAAAAATTTACATTTTTTCATTTCACTAGAGAATTTTGTGATTAGATACAATATTTCAAAAAATATACTATTTGCTCATCTTAGATTTCTCTTGTCAATCCTTTTTATTACGCTTTTTAAAATAAATAGCAATCATTAGTACACATTGCCCTGTAGTATTCAATATTCATCCACTCACATATTTCTAAACTGTCGATCATTATTCTACATTTTCATATCAAAACAACTTTAATCATTACTTTTTCATTTTATATCCATGTACTTTCTAACAATATACAGTCTCCGCCTTAATTGATTTCTCATCATTTCTCTCATGTGGAAGATTTTTTTTTTTTTTTTAAATGAAACTACATCCACTAGCACCCTTTGAGTCTTTGCTCCTTTGATCTTATTGGATTTCTTTGTATAGGGTTGATTATCAATCAAGGCCCACTGCTAGTGGTGTCTCTTCTTTCAAGAACCTTCACGCGGAACTCCCCCCACGAGTCCACTCTGTGTACTACAGGGATGATATTGGGAATATATCATCATCGAGATTAAGAGTTAATTCCAAGAAGGTAATCCCATTCGTTTGCCCTTATAGACACTTCACATAAACACTTGAGATCAGGACCATGTTCATTTTGCTTACTTAATAGGCATTAAGATGCAATTTCTTATCGAGGATGATTTAAAGTCCCCTGTCCTCTACTCCTCCAGACATTGCTCAAAGTCAGGCTCCACTACTGGTATCCTACTGCAAATGCAAGAGGAGAGATGGTTAATTAAATTAAATATAAATAAAAATTGAAAATACAACCGCAATTATAGTTGTTGGAAACTTACGTAATGGAGTAAGAATGATTATATTCTCTTAGAGATCACGTTAAAAGCAGAGTAACCTATTGTCTGATCTCCATCTTTCTTGCTTTCTTGTAGTCGGAGCTGTTAATAGAACCACGTTATCCTTTATTTGGAGGCTGGAAATCAACTTTTGTGATTGGATATGGAGTGCCGCTGCAGGACTTCCTTTTCGAGTCAGATGATGGTGCTCGTTACCTGAATTACAGTTTTGGCTGCCCTCTTGCGGACACTGTAGTTGACAAGTTGACAATCAAAGTCGGTATTAAATTATATGCTCTATATCTTGAGATCTGGATTGTCTGCTTCGATTGCCTTTTTCTTTTTTTTTTCTTTTTTTTTTTGGGAAAATTAAGAGCTAATATGAAGACTTATTATGAAATAGGTTGTCCTTCCAGAGGGATCAAAGGATCCCTCTGTCAAAGTTCCTTTTGAAGTTGATCAGAGTTTGGAGGTATGCTTCTACTTATACTTCAGTTCTCTGTTCAATGTACAGCTGCCTTATCATGAATTATGGTTTTTAAATTCGGCTTGGTATAACTGAATCACTTGTCAGTATGGTGGTGATGATCAGCCTGTTGTAGCTCTTAAACTGAGAGTTTGTTTGGCCTAAAGTTTTTTTCAATGATGCGTGTGAAATTTCATTGAATCTGATGCGAGTTTATCTTTTGTGCTTGAATATGGTGACTTTTTTTTCTTTTTTTTTTTTCTTTTTTTATTTTTTTGAGTTCCAGTATCTTCACTTATCTACCAGTATATAATGACAGCATTCAGCTTGTTAGAGTTTAGCTTTGGGTTCTGCCTTTTTATTGTTTTTCTTTTGAGAAATATACATATCTTGGATGCGTAATTGCCTATGCATTTTATATATTCAGACAAAGTACTCGTACCTCGATGTGATTGGACGACCTGTTGTGGTCTTGGAAAAGAAAAATGTGGTTCCTGAACACAATGTCCCATTCCAGGTAACTGTCAATGGTGTTCAACCAGAAATTATACCATTAATGTTTTACAAACGAACTCCTTTGCTTAAGATTGAGATTCTCATTTGTAAACACTAAGGACACAACATTCAAGCAAAGCCCCCATAATCTTTTATGAAAAATATAATAAATGAATGAAGAAAATATTATTTGATTTTATTAAAATTATATTAGAAATTTCTGTCTCTTCTCTCTTAAAAAATGTAGTAGTGATTGAGTGGACACTATAGAGAAATGTGTAGTATTGATTGAGTTTTAGTTTAAAAGTTGTATATCTTTACTAAATAAATTGAGAAGGGAAAAGGTGAGATAGAGTGATTAATGTACTTTTCTATACAATTGGCCCTTCGACTTAGATTGTCAAATGGAGAAAGAATATGTACATGAGGTCTTTACTTTATTGTATGCTCCTCTATGTTTCGTTTGTCTTCTTAATCCTTTATTTTAATTATTTTCATACAGGTCCATTACAAGTTCAACCCAATATCCATGCTTGCCGAACCCCTGATGCTGGCATCTGCTTTTTTCCTTTTCTTTGTCACCTGTGTTGCATACCTTCACATTGATCTCTCGTTACGGAAGTGAAAGGTCTAAAAATTTGTTGGGCCTTTGAAAGGTGACCATTTCTTCGGTCTTTTTGGTTAAGGTTGGATATATCAAAATGAAAGATCTATTAATAATGACTACTTTTTAATTCTTAATTTTTTATTACTACAAGTTATAAAATTCTTCTTAAAATGTGGTGATTTAATATGTAACTAGGCCAATTGTTTATTTATTTTGTGATTGATTTTGGTGTCGTGTTCGGTTTTCATCTACTAATGTGTAGTGCAACGATTTTCAGTCATGAGCTATCCTTGGAAGTTGATGTGATTGGTCGACAATTTTCCCATGCAGACTAGACGAAACCTGGAAAAGATCGAAAGAACATATAGATTGACATCATTGTTAGAGATTACATAGGAAAGTTGCAGTTTTTTCATCTTGTGGAGACATTTTCGCCGTTGCTTTCAATGTGGGACACTTGATTTTGTAGCATTTGTGTTCGATGACTTTTGCTCGATTAACACAGTTGGCCCTTGACAGGTTTAAACTATTTGCATTTTGGTGACTGTCAGTTTAGTTTATGTAGTATTAAAAAATCAGTAATATCCGGGAACAAATTTCATAATCTTTGTGAACAATTGAAGTTTATGTGAACCTAATATTCCAAGTGGGTATCATTTTAGTTGGACAAATATTCTCACGCGCATCTACTTATCAATTCATAAAGGGAAGAAAATAATCTCTTGTGTGCCCAGTATATGTACTCTTTTGTTCGACCTATATGCTTTTTCACTTGCAAATTTCTCAGATAAAGCTATAAGCATCAATATCTATTTATGATATTAGAGATTACCCTTATGCAAGCTAGAACGATTGCGAAAAGACAATTAGTGAACGGTATTAATATATCGAAATAATAATTCGTACACCCATGAGGACAATCAATTGAAGTTTGTCCATGTGCCATATGAGATTAAAGATAGGTTACACTATAATGCGATATATAACCCTCAGCCCTTCACTCCAATTGAACTCTTGCCCTCAGTTTCATCGCCGTCGCCCCAAATTTCTCTCGTCTTCATTCTTCAATTTCATCGCCATCGTCCAACCTCAAGCATCATTCACACTCGGAATCCTCGCACAACCCTCAGTTCACGATGACATCGTCCAACCTCATCTCCAGACTTCCAGTCCAAACTCGAATTCTCGCACATCAGAGGCCGCTCCATTGAGGACCACCAAATGCATCCCACCATTATTTGTAAGTTAAATTTGGGCTTATTTTTTGGATATTTTTTTTTTTGGTTAATTGTTTCTTGAAGCTGAAATTTCCTCAAAAATTGTGTTAATCTTTTGTAATTTTTTTTATTTTTTTTTGCATGTGAATCACTGAATTGTCTTACCTGTGGACAAAAGGGAAGTAGAGATGGTTCTACTCAAATCTCTCTCGGCTAAGATTCATGGCTCCTTCCACCGCTTGATTCCTGCTTATGCGTCTGGCTCCTTCCACGCGGTACAACTAATAAGCCGGTTCTGCCAACGACAATTCGTCGTTGAAAGTGGTAAAAAACAATCTGCCCAACTTCTCCTTCCTCCGTCAAGAGGATTACGATTATATTAGGAAGCATTCGATTATGAGATCCTAGACAGCTGCAACAAATTGGTGTTATCCTGTTGCAGATTTCGTGAAGCTCCATGGGAGCTTCTGTGGGACCCACCACCGCTCAAACTAAACTAATTCATGTGGCCCCGGACCTCGAATATTTATTACTATTTATGGTTGTTTCCATAAATAACCAATTGCCTTATTTGATGTGTTTAATTATTTTTATTTGCATTAAATTGAGTAATTAGCATTAAGTCTAAGCCATGAAGAATTAATTCGATTTTTAATTTCAAAATCGAATTTGTTTAGCCCAAGTATTGGTTTTATTTTCAAATAAAATCGAGCCTTGGAATAATCAAAATTTTATATAGTTGGGTCGAAACCCGGACGAGCCGAGCCTCGACCCAATACCCGAGTCTTTGATTTCAGCCCAATCAAGTAGACCCATTTAATCGAGCTCAAATTATTCTAGCCGACCCATTTATTAATTCCGGCCCATTTCATTAAATCGAGCTCATGTTCAATTTTATTTCGGCCCATTTTATCAAATCGAGCCCATGTTCAATTTTAATTCAGTTCATTTTAAAAATCGAGCCTATAGTCGATTTTTTTAAATCCGAGCCCAATTATTTTATTTCATTTGACCGACTGATTATTTTAGTCCCAGATCCGCGATATTTTATCCAGCTGAATATTTTTATTTATTAATAAACTCAGTTAGTATAATATTTACGGAGCCCAAGTCGAGTAATATTTCGAGCCCAAGTCGGTTAAATGTTAGGCCCGATTTTTTAAGCCCAAAATGCACATGAAACCCTAGCACATGCTCCTCTATAAATAGCACACATTCCATCATCTCTCACCTACCTTATCCATTTCAAAAGCAAGCACACCATATCCAATCCAAGAGCATTTTCCATACTCTACCACACATCAAAAACCGGCCAGTTATCCGGCCACCTCCCAGCTCCGGCGACCCGCCTTCACGCCGGCAGCCTCTCCACAGCTCGAGCTCGCACATCCCGCCGGTTCCAGCTCCTCCGCGCCGGCGACCGGACCAGGCCCCCTTCACGCCGCCGTCCTCGTCGCCGTTCAGACTCCAAGCTCGCCGTTGCACCACCTCGAGACTCCATTTCCGGCGAAGACGACGGTCACAGCTCCGCTTCACTTCCGGCGAGCACTCCACCGCCTTTCTGGCGGCGAGTCCACGCCATTTCCGGGGAAGTCGCGTCCAGCTCTCCCGAGCCGCAGCAGGTTCGATTCCGGCGACCCCTGCTCGCGCTCCTCCACGCCGTTCTTAGCTCCGTCGAACCCAAGTCGAGCCGAGCTCACGACGGCAACCCCATTTTGCAGTCTCGTCGCCGTCACCTGCAGCAGCTCCGCTTTTCCGGCGAGACTCCGCGTCCAGCTCCCGTCGAGCCGTCGCCATCCATCTCCCTCACCGCAGCTCCGTTTCCCGGCGATCCTCTCGTAGCCGTCACTGGCAGTCCGCCGGCGAGCAGAAGCTCCCCGCCGCCATCTCCGTTCGACCAGCTCCCGCGAATCAGTCCGGGCCACTCGGCCCACAGATCTGCGCCCGAGCCGCCTCGATCTGTGTGAACCGACCGGCAGCCAAGACCCTCTCAAACGTGAACCGACCCGTTTCTGGCAGGCCCGGCCCGTTTTGGTTCACTCGACCGATTTCGTGAATCGTGAATCCTGAGGACGAGGTTGTCGGGCACCAAATCTGTTACGGTCTTGGGTTCACTCGATCGATTTCGTGAATCGTGAATCCTGAGGACGAGGTTGTCGGGCACCAAATCCTGAGGCTGTCAGACACTAAGAAGACTTATATAGTCAAAGTAAGTGGATAGCAACAAGTTAAGAAGAAGTGAGTTAAGAAACACATAACAAGACACGAGTTAAGAAATCATACAAATAGCAAATGATCATACCAGTCGCATAAGAAGACACGACACCACCGAATCATAACATCATCTATGAAGTAGGAGTAGAACTGGGATAGGGGAACACATATGGAGCTGATATATGATCCATAATATGTTCTGTATGAACAAAGAGTAAAGAGAACGAGAGGATAACAGAGAAGAGAGGCTCCTTAGCTTTGATCGTGTGAGTGAATGATACGGCAACTTTTCCGAGGCTCATATTTGTAAAGAGGCTGCCTAAGGTATGCGCCACCACCAGTGGGAGAACTGCAACAAGTTGAGCCCAACTGATTTTGGGCCTTTTGTGGAGATTCAACGTCAACCAATGCTGTCCCAGCAGCAAATTGACCAAGAGTGACACTAAGCGGGTAATGAAAATCTTTGAGAACTTGCTGACCCAGAGTGAGTGACACTGAGCGGGTAATGAAAATATTTGAGAACCTGCTTGTTGTTGTAGATACTGAAGTAAGCGTGAAACGCGAACCAGAGCACGAAGAGCGTCCCCAGCACCAAAGCATCTGCGAGACCCAGACCTATCGATTTAGGGCTCACCGGCGCACATCTGCGAGACCCAGACCCGTCGATTTAGGGCTCACCGGCACACCAGCGTCCTCCTCAGCAGCCCTGACCACCGCGCTATTCGACCTGGGTTCAAAATCGCCAAATTCCGGCCATGAAAACAACACACTCCGCGTCATCGAACACTAGATCGGGCGCCAGCTCGAGGCAGGAGCCGCCGCGAGTAACGGAAACGGAACATCTCTGAAACGCACTTGTCCTTTGGGGGCGGAGAGCAAGCGAGTTCAGCCCGGCGGCAGACCTCCGGCGGATGGAGAAGGGAAGAAGGGGAGCGGTGAGTGAAATGGTTGCCCGTCAAACAACCGTAAGAAAGTAGTTTGACCAGTCCGCTAACAACACTTTATCCTTGTCGTAGAGGTCGACAACCTTACGGAGCAGAGAATTATGATTATATTAGGAAGATAGCCGATTATGAGATTATAGACAACTATAACAAGTGAGATTAGCGGACTGGTCAGGTGAACTACTTTCTTACAGTGCAACTTGGAGTGTCAGCATCCATTTCACTCACTGCATCCCTTCTTCCCTCCTCCATCCGCCGGAGGTCTGCCGCCGAGCTCAACTAGCTTGCTCTCCGCCCCGCAGGACAGGTGTGTTTTAGAGATGCTCCGTTCCCGTCACTCGCGGCGGCTTCTGCCTCGAGTTGGCGCCCGAGCTCAATCGGGTGTTCGATGAAACGGAGTGTGTTGTTTTTAGGCCCGGGATTTGGTGATTTTGGACCCAGGTCGGATAGCGGTGGTCAGGGCTGATGCGGAGGAGAACGCCGGTGAGCCCTAAATCGACGGGTCTGGGTCTCGCGGATGCTTTGGTGCTGGGGACGCTCTTCGTGCTCTGGTTCGCGTTTCACGCTTACTTCAGTATCTACAACAACAAGCAAGTTCTCAAAGATTTTCATTACCCGCTTAGCGTCCGAGAGTGACAGCGCGGTGGTCAGGAGTGCTGTGGAGGAGCTTTGGTGTTGGGAACACTCTTCCTGTGAGCCCTAAACAGTGTTTGGAGGTATGCTTCTACTTATACTTCAAATTCTCTGTCCACTGCCTTATCAAGAGTTATGGTTTTCCAATTCAGGTTGGTCAAGTTGAATCACTTATTAGTATGATGGTGGTGATGACAGCCTGTTGTAGCTCTTGAACTGAGAGTTTGTTTGGCCTAAAGTATTTTTCAAAGATGCGTGTGAAATTCAATTGAATCTGATGCTGAGTTTATCTTGTGTGCTTGAATTTGGTGACCTTTATTTATTTTTTTTCTTTTGCCTTAAAATTATGAGTTTCAATATCTCTACCTATCTACCAGTATATAATGAAGCATTCAGCTTGTTAGGGTTTACCTTTGACTTTATCCTTTTTATTGTTTTTACTTCTTATTTTGAGAAAAATGCATATCTTGGATGCTCAATGGCCTATGCATTTTATTTATGCAAACAAAGTACTTGTACCTAGATGTGATTGGACCTGTTGTGGTCTTGGAAAAGAAAAATGTGGCTCCTGAACACAATGCCCCATTCCAAGTAACTGTCAATGCAGTTTATGTGGCAAATCGTCATGTGTTGTTCAACAAGAAATTATACCAGTAATCTTTTACAAGCGAACTCCTTTGCTTAAGATTGAGATTCTCATTTGTAAATACTAAGGACACAACATTCAAGCAAAGCCCCCATAATCTTTTATGACAAATAAATGAAGTGAAGAACATATAGTTTGATTTTTATTTAATTATATTAGAAAATTCTCTCTTCTCTCTTAAAAATTTAGTAGTGATTGAGTGAACTTTATAGAGAAATGTGTATTATTGATTGAGTTTGATTTTAAAATTGTATATTTGTACTAATAAAATTGAGAAGGAAAAGGTGAGATAGAGTGAATAATGTTCTTTTCCATACAATTGGCCCTTCGACTTAGATTGTCAAAGTGGAGAAAGGATATATACATGAGTTAATTTACTTTGTTGTATGCTTTCTATGTTTATTTGGCTTCTAAATCCGTTATTTTAATTATTTTCATGCAGGACCATTACAAGTTCAACCCAATATCCATGCTTGTCGAACCCCTGATGCTGGCATCTGCATTTTTCCTTTTCTTTGTCACCTGTGTTGCATACCTTCACATAGATCTCTCGAAGTGAAAGGTCTAATAATTTTAGGGGCTTTCGAAAGGTAACCATTTCTTCTTCAGTCTTTTTGGTTGCGGTTGGATATATCAAAAAGAAAAATATATTAATCATGACTACTTTATAAATCTTAATATTTATTACTACAAGTTATAAAATTCTTGTTAAAATTGAAATTGGAAGAAATGTGGTGATTTAATATGGTAACTAGGCCAATTGTTTATTTATTTCGTGATTATTTTGGTGTCGTGATCAGTTTTCATCTACTAATGTATAGCGTAACTATTTACAGTCAGTGAGCTATACTTGGAAGTTGAGGAAATTGGTCGACAATTTTCCTATGCAGACTAGACAGTCAGTTGGGCCCTTGACAGGTTTAAACTATTTGCATTTTGGCGACTGTCAATTTAGTTTGAACCTAATATTCCAAGTGAGACTTATTTTAGTTGGGACAAATATGCTCACTTGCATCTACTGATCAATTCACAAGGGAACAAAAAAATTCTCTTGTGTGAGTACACTCTTCTATGGTTTTGCTCGATCAATATGCATTTTCACTTGCAAATTTCTCAGATAAAGCTCTAAGCAACAATATCTATTTATGATATTAGAGATTACCTTTATGCAATACGATTGCTAAAAGACAATTAGTAAACGGTATGAATATATCGAAATAATAATTCGTGCACTCATGAGGACAATCAATTGAAGTTTGTCCATGTGCCATATGAGATTAGAGAGAGGTTACAATATAATGCTATGTAGATATAGTTTTTTCCCACATCTATTTGGTGAGGACTTGAATAAAAATTAATTCTTTATATAGGTAGGCAAGTATTTTTCAATTGTCTATATGTTTTCTCTTCATAAACAGAGTGGAGGCATTCAATTGATTGCATTGTATGCACATGAAACTTATGTTTGCAGCCCTATTCCTGATAATTCCATCCCCTTGAACTTATGTTTGCGTGCATCACATCAAACTAGAACAATATTCATAAGAAATGCAATATTTTGCCTTAAAGATACAAAAACTTGCTATCAGAATAACAAATACAATCAACTGTCTTTCAAACACCATGAAGTAGTAGTTGATTTACTTAGTACTCTTGTCAAGATTCTTCTTTATTAATCGAAAAAAAAAAAAAATGAATATGATTGATTCTTGAATCTGCATTCCTTTTGAAATGTTTTAATATAAGAAAGAAATTAAGTAAATCACATTTTTGTGTCTTATTCCATGAGTTCCAAATTCCTTGTGATAATACTTGTTATGAATTTAATGTCTTAAAGCTTGTTTTCTGATTTCATGCCCTTTATGCTAAGAATAAGACACAAACGGCGAGTTCATGTTCTTTCAAATTGAACTCTGTTATCTCTATCTTTGCCCCCAAGGTGTAGTTAACCGGTTTTCGGGCTTTATATACATTATTTAGCAATAAAAAGTCGCACACTATTCAAATTTCGAACTCACGTATTGAAGTGATTCCAGCATGTAATATGATTTAAAGACACATCTAAAACTCTTGTTCAGGCATCCAACACAAACGAGTGTGTTCAAAAGTGAAAACCACCTCCATACAGGACACTCATGCTGCTGAAAACGGGACATATTATAAATGCACAATCATGATATCTTGAATATAATTTTTACTTAAAAAATAATTATATGAGTGATTCTGAAACTTATACCTTATGAGCACATAAGGTACATAGCTGCAACTCTTATGAATACATTGAACACTTACATCCAAGTTAAGATGATGGAAAATGGTTCAAAAACCATCAATGGTGACAGACAGAAACCAGCAAGCATGGTGTTTGGATGTTGAGCATAACTTTTAATAGTAAAAATATACTAAACTAATTTTTGCGATTCTTTTACGGGAAAAAAAAAAAGAAGAAAAGTTGTGGACATAAAAAAAAAAAAAAAAAAGGGAGTGGAAAAGAATAGAAAGGCCGTAATCAAGGAATACGGTTTTTCAGTTTTTTTTTTGTAAAACGTATTCCGTGAATACGGTTTCCTTTGTAAAAAAAATGTAAAAAACGTATTTAAGGAATACGTTTTTTAATTAAATTACACAGAAAACGTATTTACGAAATACGTGCTTTCTATGTTGGTCCACTCTCCCCTTTTTTTTTTTGTTTTTTGTCCACTTATTATTATTTTATTAATAAATATATAAATCTCCCTTTTGCCAAATTAATTTTTGCTCCTACAAAAAGTCAAGAGATACATCTACAACTTTGGTGGAGACTCAAAACACGAATGTGTATTTTAGAAAAGTGTAAAAGGCATAAAAACAATATGCTAAATTGCTGTAAAACTAGACAAAAACCATCATGTGCAACCCATATATTTTAAACATAACTTCAGCTAATTATAGATACTTGATTGATTCTAAAAATCAATGAGAATAACAAAAATAGCGCTACACTTCTTGTGGAGACTTCGAACACTCACGAGCAGTTTAGGAAGAAAATGGTTTACGACCGAGTAGTAATGTTGCTGCCAACATAAGAACAGTCTTAGAAGTAATTTAATTTTTCAGAGTGATTTCCTCAAACGCCCTCGTGAATTTTCACAACATTTGAACTACACAATATACGTGTTTGATTAATTAAGCGTAATTACTAATTAGGTGTGTTTGCACATGACTTACAACCAAGAAAAGTAATGTGGCTCACCAGCTCGACTTTGACCCTTCAACCCACAAATCTGTACCTTATAAAGGCATGGCAATATGACTATAATGAGCGGTCACTAGTACTATTCACTTGTCATACACTATATAGTACGTAGTAATTTGTTTTTTATACTGAATGATTGCAGAATTGTGAGAAGGAAACTGCATAATTTACTTTTTAACTGATGTATTATATAAAGACAATACTAAATTTTATTTCTTATAACTTATAAGTACATAATATTGACCAAGGAGACATTGTAAAAGAAAAATACGTAGTGGATTAGTGTATATCATTTGTACTTACAAGTTTCTTTTTCCTATAGATGATTCATTTGCTAAAATAAAGTTGGACTCATTGCTCTATAAAAATATTTTACGGAAATGTGGCGATAAGCTATTTGTGGACGATCTCATTATATTATTTGGTACTTCATAGCAACACAATTATTATTTTTTATTGAACTTATTTCTTCTTCTTCTTCTTTTTTTTATTTCTCTTAAGAACATATATATTATTTCTCTTAAACCTTTCATCACACCATAACTTGATCAAAAATATAATTTGCTATAAATGTTGAAAGTATTAGTTTAGTTTATTTTGGTCCCTTCCTAATTAGTATTCCATGTATGTGCAAGCACATGGGTTTTGAATAGGACATGTGCAATAATTTATAACTAGTTTGGAATATGAAGACAGCATCATGATTAAAGTCAGACTTTGGAGTAAATCAGGCAATACATTGTCCATGTTTGGTAGTCTAAAAGTCTCTATCTATGATATTTTGGGCTTCGGCCCACAAATACGCTCCTAAATCAACACATAGTTGTGGTTATTCGAGTCAAGCTGAGTTGAGTAGTACATATTCGAAGGGCATTATTATTCATCGCCCCCTATATTACTGATCACCGCCCCCTTGGACAATTTTGCCCTTCTCATTTTTTTCTAAACATCTCAGAGGAAAGTGTACGGTGAAATGTCGTCAAATTCGGAGGTACGAAAAAATACGTGTCCGGCCGCCGGTTCCGGACAGCTTATAGGCCGTCCGGAACCGGCGTCCAGACGGCTTAAAGACCGTCCAGAACCGGCGGCCAGACGGTTTAAAGCCCGTCCGGAAAGCATGGCCGGTCGAACCGGCCCTGTCCGAACCGGCCGGCCGGACGGCAAGAAAGCCGGCCGGAAACGTCGGCCGGTCGGAACCGGCTCCGTCCGGTTCGGCCGGCCGGCCGGC